CGTTGTCGGGGAGGAGACAGGTTCGGATCACCGATATATTCGGTTTGACGTCTCCGCCCCTGCAGATGGCGCGCCGGTCAGACCGGCACCACCTGAACCACGTTGGGCGCTCATGCGCTTAGATCGCGACCTCCTCCTGGAAGCCGCCATCGTACAGGCCTGGGCTCCTGCGCTGGACAGGCCTGTCGACGTCGATGCTGAAGCACAGTGGTTCCGGGAGGCCATGACCCGCGTCTGCGATGCGGCGATGCCTATGGCTCAGCCCAATACTGCGAGGCGCCAGGTCTACTGGTGGTCGCCGGAGATCGCACGGCTGCGTCAAGCCTGCGTGACCGCGCGCCGCCGGTGGTCCAGGTTCCGCAGGAGGCGTCGCCGCCCCGAAGATGCGGCAGCGAGAGAGGCGGAGCTGTTAGCGGGTTACAGGGTTGCCAAGAGGACCCTTCAGGCAGCGATAAAGCGGGCCAAGAGCGAGGCCCGCCGCGAGATGCTGGAGACACTGGAGCGGGATCCGTGGGGACGCCCCTACCGTATGGTTAGGGGCAAGATGCGCCCATGGGCCCCGCCGCTCACACGGTGTCTTCAGCCAGAGCTGCTTGAGAGGGTCGTTGGCTCCCTGTTCCCAACGCGAGTGGTGGAGCATACTCCGCCACAGATGGCTCCGCCTCCGGTGCTTGAGGCGCCTAACGTGGATGACGACGTAGTGCCTGAGGTCACTGGGGTGGAACTAAGGGTGGCGGTGTTACGGCTTAAAGCCAAAAACACCGCCCCGGGACCCGATGGCATTCCTGGCCGAGCGTGGGTCCTGGCCTTAGTAGACGAGGCTCTCGAGCCCCGACTGCGAGGGTTCTTCAGCGCATGCCTCGAGCGGGGCCAGTTTCCGAAATTGTGGAGGACGGGGAAACTGGTCCTCATCCGAAAGGAGGGGCGCCCGGCGGACTCACCGTCCGCCTACCGGCCCATAGTGTTGCTTGACGAGGTGTGCAAGCTCTTTGAAAGAGTGATTGCAAGGCGCCTCGTCAAGCATCTCGTGATGGTTGGGCCGGATCTGGCGGACAACCAGTACGGTTTCCGTCAGGGGCGCTCCACCGTGGATGCGATCATGCGCGTGAAGGCTCTGGCGGAGGAAGCAGTCTCCCGGGGCGAAGTGGTGTTGGCGGTGTCCTTCAACACTATGCCCTGGAGCTGCATCAGGGAGGCGCTCGTGTATCACGAAGTGCCTCTCTACCTCCGCCGCATAGTCGGGGCATATTTTCGGAGAGAGCCGTCGTCTACCCCAGTAGGACCGGTCTCGGTAGGCGTGAAATGTCGTGCGGTGTTCCGCAGGGGTCGGTGTTAGGGCCACTCTTGTGGAACATCGGCTACGACTGGGTGCTTCGTGGTGCCTTCTTGGATGGTGTCGCCGTCGTGTGCTACGCGGACGACACACTTGTGACGGCGCGCGGCAAGACGCACCACGAGGCAACCCTGAAGGCCACGGCCGGGGTTGCCCAAGTCGTTGAGCGTATCCGGCGGCTGGGTCTCGAGGTGGCTCTGCACAAGTCCGAGGCCCTGTTCTTCCACGGGCTTCGGAGGAAGCCGCCTGAGGGATCTAGCCTCACGGTAGGAGGCACTCGCATCGGCATCGAGCCCTCGATCAGGTATCTGGGGCTCGTACTCGATGGCCGATGGGACTTCGGATATCATTTCCGAGGTCTGGTCCCCAAGTTGGTTGGGGCAGCGCGTGCGTTGGCGCGGCTGCTGCCCAACATGAAGGGACCCGATGACTCCTGCAGGAGACTCTACTCGGGGGTTGTGCGGTCCATGGCCCTTTACGGGTGTCCAGTATGGGCGGGGCCCTGAAGGCCAGCAACGTCGCGATACTGCGACGACCGCAGCGAATGCTGGCCATCAGGATCATAAGGGGGTACCGCACGATCTCCTTTGAGGCGGCGAGTCTCCTGGCCGGAACTCCACCGTGGGACCTGGAGGCGAGAGCCCTTGCGGCTCTGTATCAGTGGCGCAAGGAGGCGCAGGAGTTGGGTCGATCCCCCGAGATTCGAGAAATCGATGACCGGAAATCCCAACTCCGCCAGGTCATCATAGGGGAGTGGAGGGAACGACTCGGGCAACCGAGCGCCGGGCACGCCGTCATTGCGGCGGTAAGACCCGTTATGGAGGATTGGCTCGAGAGGCGTCACGGGACCCTCTCATACCGATTGACGCAGGTGATCACTGGGAAGGGATGTTTCGGAGATCACCTGTGTCTGATCCGCAAGGAGCCAACGCCTGAGTGCCACCACTGCGATGGCCAGACCGTGGACACGGCTCTCCACACGCTGGCAGAGTGCCCGGCGTGGGTTGAGCAGAGGCGAGACCTCGTGGCGGCCATCGGAGTGGGAGTTCTCTCGCTCGATAGCCTGATTGCGGCTATCGTGCGGAGCGAGAGTGCGTGGAACTCTGCCGTCTCCTTCTGCGAGCAAGTTATGCTCGCGAAGGAGACGGCGGAGCGGGACCGGGAGAGGTTTAGAACTCTCCCGGCCCGCCAGGCCCGGGCACGGGCCAGGCAGCGCAGGCGACTCAGGCGCCGGAGGTCGCAGAACGACCTCCGTCCTCCATAAGCGCAGGCCTGGGGGTGACAGGTGAGGCCATCTGTCACCCTAGCAGAAGCAGGCCGGGGTGGCGGCTTCGCAGCGCGCTCGCTTCCAGGGAGCACAGGGAACATGGGGTTCCCACACGGGGGGGGGTCGTCTACTCGTCTGTAGATGACCCGAGGTATGTCGGGGCACCAGGGACTTACTTTCTAGGGTATACCTGGTTCCCCGGCTATTAGTACCCGGCGAAGGCGTGCGGTTTTAGTCGGTTCGTGTCCGACATGCCATCGACAGGTGGTATCCGAGGGGATTTCCGCACGGAAAAAAAAAAAAAAAAAAAGTACCTATAGTGTAGGCTTGTAATGTTGGTCGTTGATTTTGACTAAAGCGGTTACATTAAGTTACACGATGGCTGGGGCCCTATGGTTATTTCTTCACAAGGCCTACCCAGACCCTATACTGTACTCAGAAATAAACATCACGTATACTCGTATTCTTTATTTTGTGTTGTCGTATAATTATATTCATTATTTTTTAAATACTCAGCTGTACATCAGACATTAAATAGAATTGAGATCTTTTGAAATTGTAATTGATCTTAAACATGTTTTTTTTTTTTTGTATTTTATGTACCTCTCGAGTAGTTTCAGGTAAGATTAAAAGCGTACTTACTATAAATTTAATTTCACCTAGTTTTTACTTCATAGCTACACATTTTCATGTTTCTATCTATTTTTAATTTTTTGTATTTTAAGTCAATTTAAGTAAGCAGTTAAAGTCAAATCATTTTAACGGGCCTGTTGGTCTAGTGGTTAGTGTCCCTGACTGCTGAGCCGGAGGTCGTGGGTTTGATTTCCACCCAGGACAGATATTGTGTGATGAGCACGGTCATGTGTTTTATGAACTGTGTTACTGCTGTAGATGATTGACATAGGATAATTCTCCTTGACAATGGTAGCGCGGAAATGAATTGAAATGAATGATGAAAATGAAGCAAACTCAAAAAATCTTTTGCAATATTAATAGAACTAAGTATCTATATTAATATAATTATCTAAAAGACAGTCTTCTAGATACTAATGCTGAGCTTTAAAATGCCTTCAGATTTTTGTTATCAAATTTCACACACCTCAAACGGCAGCCTGATCCTAAACTAAGCAGGGCCTGTACTATGCTGATCAGACTGCTGATAAACGTACTTAAATATGTCTAAATACATGCTTATTATAGACAAATTACACCCAGACACAGAACAAACGATCGTGGTAACAATTATTTGTCCTGGGTGGAAATCGTACCCACGACCTCCGGCATCAGTCAAGGTAACTAACCACTAGATCTTAGCAGTCATAACTTTCGTCGCATGCTTTATAAACTTTATAAAATTATGTAGGTACTTACCAGCCGAGGGACATTCGACAACGGTTAAATAGGCACACACGGCAAATGAAATACCTAGTCAGATTTACATCTGTGTGTTATTCCAGTAATACTATTATACCTTTGCTTGTTCAATTGTAAATATCTCGTTTCTTTACTTATTCATTTTTAAATTATTATTAGTGCTTCATAACCTCCCTGCGTTATTACTTTAATCTTATCTAGTAAAAAGTTCATTAAAATTATAGGTAGGTACTTCGTACCAGGTTTATCCGTGTGACAGCCATGCTTCGGCTCAAATGGGCGAGCTAAGAATAATGTCGAAATAACCTTCATCGACTAACTTTTCGCTAAAAACATCCTTCGTAAGAAGTCGGTTCTACAAATTATAGTTCACCGATAAACGATCCGTCAAAAACACCTTTCCTTGAATGAAACAATCGTTGTAGGTTCGACTACGACATTTTCATCCAGGGTCGTTACATGTGTCCATGAGAGGCGGTTGTCACTTAACATCAAGTGACTTATTTGCTATGCCAAAAAAACAGTATTTCGTTTGCCGTGTGTACCTATTATTACGCATTATGTGGCATTGGAAATATTTCAATAATAAAAAACTTATATTTGCTAAGACAAATGGAGATGGTGGTAGTTGCAAAGAAAAAATATCAAAAGGCCCATTAACATTGGAGTTGGAGATCTAAACATGTTTTTAAAGGCAAATAATCAGGAACTAAAACTTTAGTTTAAAATGTAAATGTATTTAACAAATGAGTAGATGAAGGTAAGCTAAAGGATTTAATGCCGGCCGATTGAGGAATTAGATTAGAGGGTCAAAAATTGTACATTTATGTGTGGTATTGTGTGGTAGCCCTATTTATGAGCTGTCTGTACACAATAAGGTTGTGCCACATATGTTTTTAATTACATTTATTGAAAACATATTGAATCATGTCTATGGGAAAGTTTTTTAAATATAAAGAAAAAGATTTGAAATAATAAAAAGTTTTTATTCCTACTCCACTATGACTGCATACAAAATTAGTGCTTTCATCTTGTTTTGTACCTAAAAAATAATACAATAATGTTTAAGAGTCAAATACATAATAACATTTAAAAGGCAAAATTTCATCAGTACATTCATAAATTTAATAATTTTAAATATCAATGGATATGTCAGTAAACATAAAATTAATTATTGCAGTACAAATCTGTAGAATATATGTTCATAATCACAGACTTGTACCATTCATTGTAAAAATTCATACAGGCACACTATACACAATAACAAAAAGTAGTACTTCTAGTATTCCTTAATACTATACAACCGAAGATGGAGATCCACACTGAAATTTCCAGAATTTCCATTAGGATCTTATTTAATAAAACTTTTTGAACACTCAATGCACAGCCAGTGACATTCTTATTTTCCTATTAGTCTATTCAAGCTTATTGTAAAAAGAATATTGCTTGTTAAATAAATTATTGGGAACATCAGTGCACCAAATCTTAACTTTGTCAAGAATTAAATTCATACATCTCTGCATCAAAGTACATTTAATGCTTCAACAAGTTAGAAGCAGTGATGCATGTACTAGCTATATTTAAGTATAAAACTGCACTACTTATTGTATATTGTCCACAGTGGGCCTGCTCCAGAAAGTTAAGGCTCACATGTTCTGTGGGGCTGGACTGGCCGGTGTGGGCTGAGCTTCCAAATTCTTAATGAGCTGAGCCAACCAGTGTTTAGTTGAATTATCTTCCTGAAGACATGCAGCAAATGTAGAATCTCTCAACTGGTCTGGTAGACACTGCCTTAATGCCTCTCTAGCTCTTGGATTGTCCGATAGACGCAAATAGCACCTGACAACATGCTTTAACAACCGAGCAGATGGATCTTTAGCAAGAGACAAAACCATTTTTCCTAATATCATAGCCACATGAGAAAACCTGTCATATGTTTGGCAAATATAACAAAGTCCACTATCATCTAGCAATATCTTTTGTAAAATGAAGGTGGCAACAGTCTTGGAGAGTTCAGATCCGTTTTCCATAATACGCAAACACAATGGTATTATTTCAGTGGTAAGCAGAAAAGTAATTACTTCCTGCTCATCAGTTTTAACTAGGGCTCCAATCACTCCAAGGCTAGTAAGGCGTAAATATTCGAAAGGGCGTGTTTTGGATACCGTGTGGAGGAATGGATAAAGGAATAACGGAACGTGTGCTTGTAGGAAGGCCGAACGCGTCTCAGGGTGCGACGCAACGCATTGCATGAGCGCCAAGGCATTACAGACCCTGTTGCTTTGGTGAGCCGTGAGAGTTGGCGGAATCATAGCCACGTAGATATTGGTGATTTCTTGCAGAAGCGCAGCAATGGTACCAAAACTGTGCCACAACATAGGGGCTAAATCTGGTACATTCTCACGTTTTTTGCTAAGCTCCAGTAAGGCATTTTCTCTAGTCTCAGGGTTACAAAGCTCCAGGATCCATGTAAAAATCTTTTCTCTGTCCACGGACTGCATGTTCGCCGGGCTCTGCTGGGCACTCATGTTAATCATTGATCTTGTTTTAAAGCTCTGGCACTGGCTTCTTACAATACACGTAGGCTACGTATGGGGTTAAATACATGGTATTCTGCTTGAAACGCTAATGTGTCCACCGAACCATGTGTTACTTTATGGCTTAATTGTTTAGAAATATTTTTTTGAAACTTAGTTACGAACAACGAAACCCCACCGCCTGAAAACAATTTCTCGAAAGCGTCGGATGAACGACGACATTGACGTGAAATTTGACAGTCAAAGAAATTATCATAGATAATAAATAGTAGAGTTGTGTTTATTTTAAGACAATTCTAATAAGAAGTTGAGTTCGTGCTAACAGGCAATAGAGACAAAATTTTATTAAAATTAAATCAAATGAATTAATTCATGGAATTGCAATAAAGAGAAATTGCAATTAAGAGAAATAAATAAAGCGAAGTTACAGTCATGGGTCTTCATTTTATTATTAAAAATTATGTTTCACTTAAAAATGTAACATAAAGCATTCCATCCTCATTTCACTCTTTGAAATGACGATAGATTCTTGTATCGATGGCAACGCGCGATGCGACGGTGTAATAGTTTACAAGTTAAAGATCTCAATCACAATCATTAAATTTAAATGTCCGAATCTAATCTAGTCAGTAATCCACAGTTGTGATATTTATTTACATTTGTGTAGATATGAAAAACCATAATTAATTTATATTATATTACTCGTACATTAAATTATTCATTTTAAATCATTCACACACATTCAAAAAAATCATTTATTTGGCGTACGAAAATTGTCACTCACGGATTTTAACTGTAAATTATGACAAAAATATTACCAAATGGTTACACAGTTTACTAATATTCATCATCATCATCAATCAATCATCAACGGCCTTTAATAGTCCATTGCTGGATATAGGACCGGGTACGTTCCAGCCTGCAGATATTAATATGTCAAAATAATGAAAATCTCATTTTATAGATCTCAATTAGCCCTTTCGACCTTTGAAATTTTAATATCTGCAGGCTGGAACGTGCCCGGTGGATATAGACCTCACCTAAGAAAGGAGGTTTTGGCCTACTACACCACGCTGGCCAGACGGGTTGGTATAGGGTTTGTGTCAAGTTTTCCTTCTCTCTGCAGTGCTGGTGTCCTGCGTTGTTTTGCACCCTTAGTCGGCTCTTACGACACCCACGGGATGAATTGGGGTAGTGATATTCCGTATTCTTAATCCGTCACTTCACGGACATATTAATATTCATGCTCCCTATTATTATCCCTATTATTATTCGTTGGTTTGTAGAAGATTTTTTTTCTTATCTTCTTACTGGTACGTTACTCTAATAAGTTATTTATTGCATGCCAGGCCGGTGACCCTGTACTGATACTCATGCTCCCTATTAATATTCATGTTGTCCTAAATTTTAAATTTTTACTTATTAATTACCTACCTAACACTTACTTACCAATATTAGTTTTGAGTTTAATTTGAATAAACAAAAATAAAATTAACACAGGTAATACAATTACAATGTAATTTGAATTTTACATTCATTTTAGAGTAATAAACCGATGTTGACGTTTAGATGCCGATTATTCGCATTAGACATGCGACAAAATCACAGTGAACCTACGTATGAAAAATCGATTGATAAATCACCGGTCTTTCACAGTTCACTGTGATTTTGTCCCATGCCTATTCAGCATGCCTATTTTGACAATCTACTTTTCTGTTGTTGGCTGTTATGTTTAGTACTTCATTCAGTCAGTCAGTCACTCAGTCAGTCCAGCCAATGTAAAGTAGGTACAGTGCACAGTGCGAATAAGGATTTGTGATATTTATGTTTGTAATGTTTGGGATTTTTACCATAACAATTTTAGTGGTCATGCAAAAGTTACAATATTAAGATTCATTTGTGTTTTGATGCTTTACAGCTCAAGTACTACCATAATTATATTATGTGAAAGCGTGTTTCGGAAACTAGAAAACACTTTCGTTGGTTTGTAGTAGATTTTTTTTCTTATCCTCTTATTAGTACATTACTCTAATAAGTTATTTATTGCATGCCAGACCGGTGACCCTGTACTAATTCTACATTAATATAAGTCTCCGGTTGATTCATCGTAAGTTGACGCCATTGCCGTGTTTAATTAGCTGTTATAAACAAACTACGGTTTTGAGTCTTGATACTAGACTGTCGTAGTTAACTAGTTATTCCCTTTCTGAACCGAGCTATGTTCGACATGATGCTATATATTTTTTTCCATAACAGAACCGTCCACTATGAACGTTATATCAGTTATGAGTAATGTGTTAAATCAGTAAATTTAACGTAAATTTAGGAGCTGTTACTCATTCTGTTTGATACAGTAAACAATTTTTCTAGAAATATCTTTTAATTTATATCAAATGATTTACCTGTAATATGGTGTTGTGGTTTAAAATGATAGCAAATATGTAACGTTTACAATATGAAAAGTTTAAAAAATGATTTCATACTAAGCCTGCCCTTCGTTTGTGTTAATGTCTGTTCCACGATAAACAGTAGCCCTTTTCCAGACTATATTCTAGCTCTGTAAAATATATCATTAATTTATGTTCAGAACAAAGATCTATTCATCCATCCTTCCATACTTTCAGAATTAAAATATTAGTATAGAATTGAACTTGAACATGGAATTTGAAAAGCGCTGCCTTAGTGGTGTAGTACCATAAGCGACTGCAGTAATTGAGAATTCGGGTTTGACTCCCAGACCATTAAAAAAATTATAGGCTATTTCTGAGAAAAAATAGTTACTCCTTATATAGACAGCTACCTGTAAGTAAAATATTATCAAAATCCAGCTGTTTTGAAGTTTACTCGGAACAAACAGACAGATAGACAAGAGATATTTAAACTGGTTTTTCAGCATAAGTATCAAGCAAATAACTGTTTAAGCATGAAAAAACCCTATGATTCTGAGATTACAAAAAGACACTTCAATTTTATTTATTATAGTCCATCCAGGTACCGTTTGACAGTTCTGACAGATTGAGGTATAGCGATGGGGTCAAAGAAATTGATTACTAACATATCTGATTCTTAAGAGATTTTAATATCATTTCTTAGTATGTACTAAAAGATTACTTTTACAGATTTATGTATGTTACTATAAAAGAGTGTGTAATGGCACATCATAGGTTTGACTAGTACATCTTTTAGACTTGGACATGAGCGATTTTTGCTTACTAAGATTTATTTAAAATTACATTAACTTACATACTTTTAATTTTAATTATGCGTTTTCATTGAGATTTGGATGAACCAGTCTTATGTATTTTATGTATTATCAAATACTAAGATGCCTGGACTGAAAATGACTCGTTATTAATAAATTCGATTTTTCGTACATTTCAACGGTTATTCGTATTTAAGTGAATTTGAAGAGCCGCAACACTACGGTAAAGGATCTAACCAAAGTCACATACTTTGAAATGAAGTTTGAAAAAAGAAAACATTGTGTATTTATAAATTGGTGATTTTGCTTTGTTTCAAAGATTTAAATTTTTATTTAGTCATTAAGAATTGTATATCTTGGGACAAAATAAAAATACCTACATAACTCCATGGTTTTATAGATAAGCTTACTGAAATTGTGAGTTACGCCAATACAAAGTTATTTCGTCTTGAAAAGTATGAAACGTCAAACAGTACCTCTTAGATTAGATGGACTATAGTATAGATACACATATCAACAAAGAAACAGGTTTTATGACAATAGAGGAAGTGTAACGGTGCATTTCGCGCCATTACAGTAATTTGAACCTTTGTCTCGTTTTTGTTTTGTTAGATTGAATTTTTTGTCGTTTCTGCGAGTGCCGATGGTCGAGGGACGGACGAGAGTAATAATCGATGTTGTTCGCCCGCGATTAGTTAGTCGATTTAGTTTTTCTTGTTCTGGCAACATTTTTGTTTCCCCGCTCTATGAAGCGAGAGGCTATTGCACTGGTATCACTTTGACTTTCACTTTTGGACCGGCCGCCGAGAGAAATGACGCAAAACCGTTTTGTCATTTAATTTTTTAGAAATCCGTATTTATTTGATATGGACGAGGGCCTATTTCCTCTTTAAATGCTTGGCCAACCTAGTTAAGACTCGAGCTAGTGGATCGAGTGATTATTTTTGATAAAAAAGGTGAGTTTGTTCGGCCACGTGCTTCATGCTTGGCTTGGCGGAATTTGTGGTTTTAACTCTTTGTTTAATTGGTTACAGGCAATGCTTATAATGCTTATAATGCCGCTGCTTGATTTGTGAAGCATTTTAGAACCCTGGTAAGTGAAATATGATTTCTTGTCAGAGTTATGGTTCATCTTGTGAGATAGGCTTTTAACCTATAATTTTTCCTTATTTGCAGATGAATCAGGGTTCTTTTCTTTTTTAGCTTATATCTAAAGCCTTTACATTACCTAAATTATTTTACTTTCTTATTGGAATGTCCTTGCGTGGCATTCGATGTTTGTCTCTCGCCGGAGTTTGACCCCAAGAAATTAGATTGCTGTGGAGCACCGGATTGGTAGAAAAAGCTGCTTAGCTGCACGCCATCGTCTGGAGCAGGGGAGTACTAACCCGCCTCTTACACCACGTGGGAACCGGAGTGAGAAGTTTCGGAGTTGGTTTGATTTCATTTCGTTCGGACTGATCCAAGGTCATCGGTATGTGTTTTTGTTATATTTTTCTTGGCGACGTGGCATTGAATACTGCAGGTCCCTAAGGGGTGTTATTTTTATTAGAGAGTAGGTCAATGCTATGTCTACCCTTAGAGTTTATTGTTTTGTCTATTAAGTCTTTATGCGACTTTGTTTAAAAAACCTATACAGGTCCCCAAAGGGGTTAATTTTAATTAAGGGAGTAGGGCGTTGCTACAACTACCCTTATACTCTTTTCTTTTTGGGTCTTCATGTGACTCTTTAAAATTTATTTAACCTTATAATTTTCTTATTGGAAAGGATTGCATTAATGACAGTACT